AAATTATTCTCGCGTAATTTTATCAAAAACAAATATATATATATACATTATTTTTTGGTCAACATAGTGTATTTCTACACACATAAATTTAATTGTTCGTAATTTATTCATATTAATAAATTATCCCAATTGCATTCCAGACTGTACATATAACAACGACGATAATAACACAATACCGATTTTACGTCGACGAAAGCACAATATTCTGCGATTAGTTTCGCGTTAACATTATACGCCTTTGTTTATCGGGTTACAACTATGTAGTCCCATTAACTAGAATGGAACAAAGGATTATACCTCAGGACTCTAATTAACTCCTTGCGTGTGCCGTAACAGTGATTGCCCCCTCCTGTCAATTCTCTCTCCCTTTTTCTTTCTTTCTCATTCTCTCTTTTTAAAACTCTTCTTGATCGCAATGAGCACAAAAGGGAAGAAGAGAAGGACCCAAGCGAAAACAAAATTTCACAAGGCGGAATTTTCGGAATGCACTCTGTCGACAAGTTTCGTGAATCGCGCGGCTTCAACGAAGATGCCACATTCTTGTAACTGACATAAGCATACATAAGCAGAGAGTATATAATCAAGATATTACCAAAATATTCGACGCATGTGAACTTGAGCTCGGCTTGTGTAGCGCGAGAGATACTTCATTGTCTTAGTACTTGCTTCCTGAAATTCTATCGTACTAACGAGCACTCTGACAGCTTTTATATTGAATAATATTGAGCTATTCTATATTTATAACAATGAAGAATTTATGCGAATTAAATGGATATAATCCGAATGGTGTAAGAAAGTTTCTCTTGATCTTTATCGCTTTTCCTATTTTTTAAATAATAATACTAATAATTTCTCATCGTCTAATTAATATGCGCAAGTAAATGAAATCCGCAGTCGGATTGGCGTAAAATCGGAGACAAGTTTAAGAAAAAGAATAATGATAGATCTTTAATATCATTATATCGCCGTATTATTTTGTGTTTCCGCCTGGAGAAGGTTGATGAAAAATTAGACGCAATTTCGCGCGCGAAACTCTCGCCAGATGTTTACGTAGCGTGGAGTTAACTAATCGTGAGCTCAAATTAACTCATTATTCGCGAGTTTAATTTCCACGGCGTGCCTCATTTCGGCACGAAATGAGTGGCAACGAAAATAAAGCCCGGATATTACGCGGCGAAACGATGGAGACTTCGCGAACCGCGCAATATCGCGACGAGGATGGCGATACGAGCTTATAGTCCGCACAAGCAGGATGCTTTCGGGGATGAACTATTCGTCGAATAACTCAATTTGCGAGAGAGCGGTCGATAACCCTTTCTTTCTCTCTCAGAAGGGTTGTACATTTTTTTTTTTCCTCATATAAGCCTCAATAAGTGACTCGACTTAAGTGGACGGATATAGTTGCGAAATTATACGGTAAAAACTAAACATCTTTATGTTCCTTTTTCTCACTGGTTACAACATATGAATAATATTTTTGAATAATACTTTTTCGTTTTCTTTTTCATATATTTGACTATATTTTGATCACACAATGCTTTTTGCAAAAAGCTTCGTCTTTAAATGTTAATTATGATTTAAAGTGTTAATTTTTTAGTAATTTTAAATAAATTTAAAAAATAATCGATCCCTCCGCCCCCAATAGATTTTTATCCAATGTCATTTTTATATGTTCAACATTTTTTAAGAACTTACGTACCTAAAGATCACTTTTTATAAACACTTCTTTTTTAGAAAACAAAAAATATTTTCATATTTGATAATTATTTTTAAGTACATCCGTTTACTTAAATTGGAAAATATATTTGTGCCTAATATCAGCCTGTTAGATATACATTGACATAAGAAATAACCAATTTGAAAAATTTTTGAAAATATATTAAAATTTTTTGGAGTATTAATCATATTTAATTTTTTTATGACGTGCATGATGCGGTAAAATAATGTCTCGTACTATGTGCTTTACGCCTTGAAATATATTTGTCAGTTTTCGAATTATAAACTTGAAAGAAATTTTACGACACTAAAATAAAAATTTAAAAATTTTATACAATGTGTGTCATATCATAATTTAAATAATTATTTGCACATTAACATTATTCATATATCTCGATATTACAAACGCGTAACACTAGGAAAGAAATGATTGATGTAATCATTATTTTTTTCCGAATATCTCTCAGATATCTCTTAACTTATCTTGTCTTAATTTCAAAATTACATAATCCAAGTTAAAGCCAGCCGAACATGTGTTTTTTAGTCAAGTAATTATAATTTACGTTTCTTTCATGCTTAGTTCTTTCGTGCAACCAGAGTAAAATTATACGCAAAACACACTACCACCGCAAAAAAGAAACTGCGAGAACGCATTGTGTGTGATACAAAACAAATATTACTTTACTTTATGGAAGGTTACCTCGCTAGCTACAACGAATAAATGAATATAATAATCCACGGGGGATTTTTTCTGAGTATGCAAAAACCGTCAACGCGTGCAAATACGTTTATAACAGTGAAATAACAATCGGGAATAACGGTGCTTATATGCGAGAACGTAATTGAAAATTCGGCGTAATTGAAAAGCTGGAGAGCGGAATTTCTTGTTATAAATCAGCTTCATTTTCTAACACAACGAATGCTTAGCAAACGTTAATTTATATTTCGACGACATATAAATAATAATTTATTTTCGTATATTAATTATTGTGCGAGATAACATCGCGCGATTTATTAAAACGCCACGCATTTAATATAAGATATATCTGTTCATTTTCACATATAATTACATTTATAATAAATAAATAAAATCATGTGTTTTATGTGTGAGTTTATATATGTTAACATAAATTCTCGAAATCGAATAATTAGAATCAAGAGGTATCTATATACAAACAAACTGTTATTTATCTTATAATGATTAATTTAATAATAGCAGAAAATATAGAAATAAAAATAATTAAAGAACTAGAAGATATAATAATTTGCGGTAGAGTATAAAATGGATTTATCAATTTAAAAACAGCCAATCTTTATACAAACAGAGAATATGCAGGCAGCTGATAAACGCGGCTACTAAACGAGAAATATTTTCCTCTGCTCGCATATAGACAAACAAAATACATTCCGGTCCGTTTAAACTTTTCCACCGCGACGATATCGCATTTTCCTGAGAACAACGCAATGCAAATAAAATACCAACAGCTGCTAAATCGGCAGTTTTTATGCTATATCGCGGTATGAAAATGTTCCTGCTCTCTCCTTCTCTCTTTCTCTCTCTTCTTCCAGCGATATTTTGAGGATTTCAAAGGTTTTTCGGAGATCCTCTTGAAAATATTTTCCAAAGCTTCGTATCGCGTAAGATGAAAGCCACGTATAAAAATGCGCAAAAATATTGTTAAAACACGTTTTTGAAATATTAAAAAAGATATAAAAAAGATTAGCGGATTAAAATCAACGATGTTTCCATTCAGCGTGATGGAAATGATATGTGAGAGAAGTAATCGCAAAAATCATCTATGGAATTTAATCCCCTATCGTGTCGCGAGAAATTTATAAATCTTCTGAAATAATTATTTTCACTTTTTCAATTTTTCATAAATACAAAATCGTGAAAATATTAAGAAATATTTGTCGGTTTATATTCCTCTCAAGAGACGTAGAAAATCCAATAATAGAAGGAAGCGGTCGCAAAAGAGAGAAATCGGAATAAAACCAACATTTAATTTATCTCTCTTAATCCATTATTCACCGATAGTTCTTGATATTATTATATTATAGCGAAGCGTATCTCCTTGTGTCTGCATCGAACATAAACCAGACACGAGTTAATTTTGTACGCGTGGCGCATAATCGTATAATCATAAACAACAAACCGCTCGAAAAGAAATTTCGCGGATTCCGACGACCAGGAAGGTCTCATTGATTAGGCAGGAGGCAGGCAGAGAGAGTCCAAAACCATTTCTGGGCCAATAACACGCAATGTAAACTATGCGCGAGCGCAGTTGCATTCGCGGATTCCGACGACCAGGAAGGTCTCATTGATTAGGCAGGAGGCAGGCAGAGAGAGTCCAAAACCATTTCTGGGCGGCCAATAACACGCGATGTAAACTATGCGCGAGCGCAGTTGCGAAAATATGCCGCATGATTCCCTAGTTACACTAGTAAATGTAAAATGCGAACGTAAACGCTCGGAGCAGAAAAATAGCGCGATTGTCGGTAATTAATTCTAAACACTAAGATTTTTTATACTTTTACATTTGAACACGCGAAAAGACGTTCCAGGCCTTCGAGTCATGATAAAATATCCCAAAACTATCGAATATTGTTTTAATGTTAGATTTTTTGGCCAATTCAGAATCGATTTTTTTCTGACCGAGTGTTGAGACGTCATAATTTATCATGCAAGTTGCCAATTTTCTTTTATCATGTATCTAATATTCTTTGTAACTAAAACTTAAATTAAAATTCTATTAAACTTTATTTGGAATTATAACTGTAGAAAGAAGTTTCGTTATTTTTTTGGCACTGCAAATTTTGGTTTGCGAAAAACAAGAAACCATTTTCAATCGCTTATAATTTGAAAATTATTAACGCATCGGCATTTTCGTTAAGAAAAAAAAAAAAAACCAAATTAATCAAAGAATTTGCGTTGGAAGAATATTTGAAGATTTTGGGACATTCTGAAAAAGTAGTATCGACTTATTTAGATTCGACATAAAAATTTGCATATATCACATGTTCAGTCCTTATTATTTTATTTATTTATCATCGCTTTTTCTATCGAGAGAAAAGATTGATTTAGAATCATAAAAATTGAGTTATTGTATAGAGATCCTCCCCCCCCCCAAAAAAAAAGCGATTTATCTTAGTTCAAAATTCAGACACAATTTCAAACGTGTTTGTCGAATATCTTATGTGATTAGTGTTACGTATAAGCAAGTGGAAAATGTGTACACAGCTTAGTTATGTTGTTGGAGGATATTTACGTAGATTCGACTCACCTCGCGACGGCGGAAGCGTGAAATTCACACTGGAGAATCCAGCACGGAGGTGAGAAGCGCGAAGGGTCGCGCCGATTAATTAGCGACAATTATACGACAGTTCCAAGGATAATTAGCGACGCTTAAATCCCACGTTGACTTGTCCGATCTCATTGCAAAACACTGTACTCCGTCGCGTATAATCGCGTATCACACATGTCCCCATACACACACATGCGCAAAAATTGGATCTCTCTTATTCACAGTTAATAATTAACACACAGAAGTCCGTATTGTGTCAGTTTTATATCGTTCTCTCTCGTAGGAGAATAACACTCAAACATCTACCGTTTATTTAATATCGCGACTTAATTTGTAGCCGTTGTTTGTAGTGCTTGTTACTATTTGGATTGTCGTCGCTTATATTATTGTTACTTGTATCGTCGTAGTTGATATTTCATGTTGAATACAACGCATGTCACGTAATTTCTTTTTCACTGATATTTTCACCTCGCAACGAAAAACAAATTGCATTCAAGTCCGAACAATTACTTCACTCTCGAAATTGTCCTCGCTAAACACGGCGAAGCGAACCTATGTGATCGCTGAAGCTTTAGTACTTTCTTTATTGTCACACATAAGTCTTTCCGTACTTGGGATCTTGTCTTAAACTTAAAATGTGCGTTTTAAATCGCGAAAATAACAGCTGTGTTAAAATCTGTAAAAACTCAACAATCCGGAAATATAAAATTAATAATGATAATAATTATCTTAATAATTAACTGATAAAAAAATTAAAATCTTTGAATAATTATTTCAAAAATAAATCCCCCTTTGATCGCGGATATTGCTTAACAGATTGACAATCGATGAACGAATTATAATGCAGGGACAAATGTAATCGCAGGTAAAAATAAGAATGAATTATTAAAAAATTCCAAACGTTTAATGCGAAAAAAAAAATCTAATTTTGCGAGTATCTTTAGATCTTGCGACGCATGCGCATCGACTTTAATAATGAAATCATTAATTGTGAAAATATTAACGCGGGTAAAAAGAAAAACTGATAAGGATACAGATACAACGATTAAAAGCTATTCGATTCGCGTACAGTTTCGGATAATTAACACGAAAACTCTTGTAAAATTAACACGGAAATTGGAGCAAATGGTATTTAGTCGCGGATCTTCAAGATCCTTCGCGTAAGAAGAGATTCGTCCCTTTTCAAAGGAATATTTCAAAACTCCGACAGAGAAAATCAGAGGCACACGAACACGACCGTCACATATTTCTACCGCGACTGTGCTCGTATCGATCACCTCAATCACCGTATCGCGCCTTTCTTAACGATGTCACCCAGTAATATCGCGTGCAGTGCCAGCGTTCAACCCCTTCGCGTCCTTATCAAACATCCTGTCTATCTTTCGAGGATCTTCTGAGGATCGTCGGAAAACATGTCTGTTTCGAGATCGAGTGCCTCGCGATCACATCATTTTTGTCCCACAATTTATGACGAATATATCAATCGTTCACCGCTCGCGCGTGAATGTTTTTGGATCGAGAGGACGAACGAGAGAGAATCTCTCGAGAAGCGAGTCAGATGCGCGATCGCGCGAAAAAATCGGGAAAAAAAAGAATTCAGACGGAAATTGTCGAGACGGCGAGTGAGTCGGGTACCATGGCAAGATGCGGAACAAGCGGAAGAACAGTTGTTCTTGCACAAACCGTAGGACGGTACTGCGGCCGGCGCGCGACGAGAACCTGTCTCGGAGTGTTCCGTACCGCGGCGCGCGGCTCTCTGCTGCCTGCGAACTGGCGCAAGCTCTCCCTAGCAAAGCCGGGCACCGCTGCGAGCAGCGGAACTTGCGGCGGAGAGGAAGTTCGATCACATATACCCTCGACAGGGGCACGAGGGCACAAGTGAGATAATACGCGATCGCGCAACGACCGAAAATTTGTATACGCTAATTTTCGTGATATTAGCGCAACGTTGTCGAGACTCCCACGGGTAATGCGTTATTATATTATTAATACGCAATAATTTTAAACGTGTGATCTGTACGTCTCTATACAGAATGTCCCAAAGTCATCGGATATACTTTTAACGACAAATTCTTTGATCTATTTAAAGAGACAATTTTTTTTTTCAAAATGACAAAGAATCTATTGTTAAAGTACTTGGTGGTTTTAAGACGTCCTATTTATTATTTCTAGATTATTTCGCATAATTGTTTATTTGTCACAAAAATATAACGTGAGTTATTGGAGAATTAAAATTGTTATCCGAGTAAAAATTATTATACATACTATAATTACGTGATATCCCCTAGTCAATTAATATCTGCATTAATTTGTAATGATGTTTTTCACACATTTCTTATCTATCAAATTATGATGAAAATATATTGTTGTTTACATTACTCTCAGAATAAAAAGGCTCGGAAATTTAGGAAGGAAAATAAAATGATCGTACGTTTTCCTTCATTCGAAAGTACAATGGAGAGAAAGATTTGTAAATTTTGAGGTAGAAAAACAGTAAAAATAAATTAATAAAAATACTTCATACGTGTCGACGAATAATTTTAAAATATTTTTGTAGTTGGAGTTTAAAATTAATGTGAGATTAATATTTTATGACAGAATATTGATACACACTAAAATTTATGAACTTGATAAATATATATTTTAAATTTTAAATAGCTTACTATAATAATTTATGATACGACATTGTCAATTATATGACAATTATGACACATAATTTGCGACAGGTAACAGATAAAATAAATGTTTCGTCTAATAAAATACTGTACGATACTTTTATCTCTATCAAAGATTTAAGCTAAGAAATAAAATCGGAGAAGCATTTAACATTTTATAATAAATGAAAATGTAAAGATAACGATGTTAACGAAGTCATTTATTCCATATTATTTTCTTTATCGAGATGCAGAGGATAAGATGATTGCAAACATTTTGTAAAGACATAGTAACTAAAGACGACGGCAGAAACGTTTCTTTTAAACAAATTAAAATTTATTTTAATAAATTAAAGATTATAAAAAAGGAAGAGTACGAAATATGGAAAAAGAAAATTAATCTAAATTGGCTAAATAACCCGTACTTGAATTTTAAGATAATTAGAAGGTAGCAACGGCAATAATTATCGAGAGAAACTAAACTACCGGCGTCGTAGTCTGTCGTTTGTAGATCACACTGCAATTTTTATAGGTCAACCCGCAGGTGCAGTTTTATAGCTCATGAATATGAGAACGGGATGGAAGAGGGGGGAAATATCGATGTTCCGTGTCCTGCAACACCTGTCCATGTCAGACTTTATTTACATGACGCGCACAACAGAAAGGAAAATGTTTATGATGCGCGAATACGAGTTGAACTAACACCGATCCCGTAACAGTGATACGGGATCAACCCCGTAGAACCCGCATTGTCCTCCATCGACCCCGAATCAAACGAGAACGATATCGACACATGGCCAGTATAGAGAGGACACTTGGGTGAAGAGACATTCTTTTTTACTTTTTCTCTCTCTTTCTCGAGCAGATCCGATGGATAAGTTTGTTTATCCGGGGAAAGGACAAGAAGTCTCCTTAAACGCACATGTGATAACATGTGATAACAATCTATACCTATGTAAAGAGTGACTCGAGTGATGATGAAAACAATAGTTAAACAATAGTAGAAAACAATAGTAAAAAACAATATTCTACAAATAGTGTGTCTTTCGAATTTTCATTATTGCGATTTAAACGAAACCGGATTAGAGTCTCATTCTCTAAATAATATAAATACACAATTATTTAATTAATGCTTCCGCGACTTAATTATTGCACAAATATATGCCAAAAGTAGATAAAGATACGAAAAAAGAAGACAAAGAAATCGAAATTCAACACGATGAGAGGCTGAAATTATTCGCTGTAACAAAGGTAGACAGAGCCAGGAAGTTTTCTCTTCATCTTGGTTAATAAAGGCAACATTTCCGGGACGCGTGTCAGAAAAAGGGCTAATCAACTATTCTCTCCTCCTCTCTCTTTCTCTCTTCCTCTCTGTAAAACGCGCTCGTGCATATGCATCACCGGCGTGATGCACTCTGCGCGCATCTTTTTTCCCGTGCACCGCCGCGCGCGAGCGCGAGCGGGAACCGTAGGCGTGAGTCAAGAAATCCGGCCGAAAGTTGCATCTAAATCCCAGCACTGTTTTAAAGGTTTCCTTGTTTGATTTTTTAAATTTCTGAGCTCAAAGTTTATTCAGGGTGATATTATGACATTATGATATATAATGAACTTTTCTTGATATAAAACTACCAACACGCAAGGAATAAAGCAATGGATAATTTATTTAAAAAACGATGGTGCAATCTTAATTTCTTTTGAACGAGATTACTCCGAAAGAAAAAAAGTTACATGCAACGTGGTTATTCCTCGAAACTATCTAAATTGTATTCCGTACATTTTCTGCGTCTTAAAAAACTCAAGCGAGAGAAATGTATAAATATCTTATTTCTGATAATTCATTCATGTAACACGCTCAACCACTGCATACTTTTTCTAAGTAATTTATTCGTTAATGAATCAAGAATGAAGTCTGGCTCGGCAAAATTGCTCAACGGAAGAGATTTCTTCATAAATCAAATAAAACGTTTCACGTTTCATTATTAAATATCTTGATAATTAATTAAACTAATATATATATTGAAATTTATTAATAAACGCGTTCTGCTACTACGTGTATTGACAATAATAAATTAGAGTGTACAACTCAAACACGTAACCAAGTTCAGAATGAGAGGAACTATATATATATATATTTGCGAACGAGAAACCAAGAATTCTCATCTAAAAAGAAATCGACTCCGAGTTCATCAAGAAATGTGCCGTTAAAAGGAAAGGCAATTATCTTAGCGCACCTATAATTATATTTCACTGTCCGACGATACGTGTATTTTTCACAATAACGAAAATGGAATCGAGATAAATAAAGTTTAAATTCGTCGTGATGTGTTGTACGCGAATGGTACGTCTCGATTGTTTAACCGTACAAAGGGAGACATGAGAGAATTTCGAAAAACTTTCATTGTCGAGAGAGATTTTCCTACAGAAACACAAAGTTTTGCGAATTATTGGCGCTCGTTACATTGCGAAATAGTTAAATCGCCAAACTCATCACAAAATTATCTCGCAACGTTGATTGTTGCGCAAGGAAAATATTTTACGTTTTATCGCGTCATATTAGAGGCAGAGAATATACAGAAATGATGTGTACATTATATGCATCTTTTTCACATAAATAATAAATATTACTCCCCGTAGACGCAGCGTGCATGTGAAAATTACCGTAATCAAGTAGGAATTAACGATCTGATTGGATTATTGAATAATCTTTAATTCGTAACGGATTTTCTGCAAAAACATTCTATTGAATGAATATAACATCAAGATCTTGTCAAGTTACATATGAATAATCGTTTTTTCATGATAATCGGACGATAAATCATGTGTACGCATAATTAATGAGTAAAATGAGATTCTTCCGTCGTGTAAACATTATCGTTAACCAACGATCAGTAATCTTGGAAATGATTATTTCAGAAATTTATATTACGGTTCCCGTGAAGAACATTTTTATTCGCGCTACGAGTAAAAATAAATAAATGAGTTTCCCTCGCCAAAGTATCGGTTATATTTATCGTGAGAAATCGCACGTTATCGTGCAAAATTTTTCAATACCATTAAATCGCGATGGGATAATTAAATGCTGGGTTAATTATAGGATAGTTAACGTGGATGAGAGGGAAGGAGGGAAGCCTTGGATTCGAGGGCAGTCCCAATCGGGGTTTCGTCGGAAACTGCATCAAACGGTTTTGCCGATCTCGCTGCATCTCCCGCATCGGATCCACGATTTTATTCAGCAATGCCCGGCAGCAGTGTTACACGAACAGTACTGTTTCGTACTGTTACACGCGCGCATATCGGAGGTTTTTGTGCACACGGTTCCTTGCACCTTTACATGTCTCTTCGTCGCGCGCCACCCTCCCGCCACCTCGTTAAAGCCCCGTTTTCAGGCTTTCGCGTCGTGCTCGTCCGACTATTCGCAACCCCGGAAACATCGGTGCTACTACATTCTCTCGTTTTTCATTATTTTTCTCTTTCTTTCTCGATTTCGACGGAGAAACTTGTTTCGCAGGAATCATCATCAATTTCGCCGTATGGTTGAAAAGGTATTCGTTCCATTATTATTTGCGCTAATTTGTATGTATATTGCAGATGAAGTGTTTTATATTTATATAGTATGTTTTTATATATTAATTAATTAATTTTTATGTAGATATTTATATTTGTTTCTATATATACTTGCCTTACTTATAATCGTTATACATTTATTCGTTATATTCGTTCTCGAATATTATTTTCGACGAAAATACAAATTTTAATATAAAATCCACAGATGTAACATTTTAGCATTCATATAAAAGTCTATCAACAGTATTATAATATACGTTTCCTCTCGCCGCAGAACTAAAGAACGTCGGACATCGCGGAATAATGTTCCCGAATTAAATATCTCGACTCTTTCGCAATATCACTTCATTATAATATAATGTGTATAAAACATAGTTTATATTATAATGTAAAGAGAGAAACCTAATCCGAAAAATTACAGAAATTAAATTATAGAAATTAAATATAAAAATTTACATAGAATTCGCGTGGTTTCAATGCGGCTTCATTAAGGTACAAGTCAAACATTATAAATAGA